TAATACTAGGAAAATAATTAGGCTTCAGTACTTGCCGTTTCGTTCAAATTTTGGACGGCGAACTATTGTAACGGCTGAGGTATCGGCTATCCCAGATTAACAGTTTTTGTCTATATTAATATCTGGATCTCCTTCATAATTCTACTGTTCACAAAGCCAATTCTTTTTTCGTGACGTACAGACTTTCTGTTAATTTATTTGTAAACCGTGGTTACCCACGGAAAGATTGCATTAATAAATACTTATATTACCTTGTCGTTTTTAAGTCAAATTTAAGAAGCTGCCTCTGAAACGAAATAAGTTACAGAGTTCTGTCTTCTGGGATATAACGCAGTTTAATCTGTTGAAAGTCAACCGATGTTTCGGAGGATCATCAGGGTCGAAGAATAAGCCAAGTAAGGAACCAGCACGAAGAAGGTAGGAAGCAGATGCTTCACGATAATTTATTCCCTGGCTTATTCTTCGACCATATAGATGGAGAGGGTGTGCTCCTCGGAAACGTCGGGATAGGACGACACTGAGTCCACTTGGTACGTCGGCAAGTAATTTGCCTGTTGTACCAGCCCCGGATGACACATGATGAATGTGGAGCAGTCGGTGATATGAGAATTGGCAAGGGAAACCGAAGTACTCGGAGAAAACCTGCCCCACTGCCACTTTGTCGACCACAAATCACACAATACCTGACCTTGGCTCGAATTCGGACCGCCGCGGTGGAAAGTCAGCGACTAACCGCTTGAGCTATGGCACGGCCGACAGCGACATTAAATGGAACGTAAATGAATAAATAAATAAATAAATTGACCGTATACTAATATAATTCTCATCGCAGCGCCTTATTTATATAAGAACGAGTTCATTATTATACTTTGCGTGTCTCTTTCCATGAGATTTTCGAATCAAAATTTGGTTGCCATAGTCAATTTTGTTTCCCTCATGCACGCTACGTATCCCGTAAGTACCCTGAAAATTGTAGGTATTGATCACAAATTGTGAAGTTCCTCATTACATTGTCACGTGTAAGATGGTACACATGACGAAAATGACGGGTTCTAGTTAGGATGATTGGATTTATTAGCACCTTCGTTACAAGTTACTCGTCCGTACAATCAATACAGCGCTATCTCTGATTATACAATTTGCAGTTCACCGTTGCTCATGCACTAGGATTCTGTCTTCACTAGTCGTCTCCTGGCAACGGATCTCAACACAGAAACTAGCGCTTGAAATCACAATGAAATCTTCTTGTCTTCAATCACTCTGTACTCCTCTGTCCTAATCTGTACACAGCTAATATCCACTCTTGACTAAGGACATGCTTCATTCTCGTCCTTGTGCTCTCATCTGCTTCCAGCTTCTAAATTCACTTCCCCTATAAGCACTCCGCACAGTCCCCACGGAAAACACAGTCCGTATTCTTGATGACGTCACCACGTTGCATAGCACGGTCCGATACGCGGAAATGTGTTTACCGTGCAGTTGCCTAGAAACGGATAGAATAATTCCGTTGTTCTATTGTTGTGGCCTTGTATTACTTAGCAACGGCTATTTCTGTTGCTCAACAGCTCTTGCATGGAGTAAATACGCCATAATATAATTTTACCCATCTATCCCCATTTCCCGTATATTTCGGTACAATTTGTTTGCACACAAAAATATTCTTTTTCCACTCCGAAGGGTCAAAATGTTTAACACAGACAATTACTTATCAAAGATTAATGAGCTTGGAATTCGAACTGCGGTCCTTTTGTGAATACCAGTACATTGCATCAGGCTCCTTGGCTTCGTGGCTTTTCCATGCGCACGTATTTTAAAACCAGTATTTATAAAAGACACCGTGACTTAAGCCACTTTTGGTATGTCTGATGCTAAGTAATGTATGCGGTTCTCGCCTTGTACGAACAGTTCCTTCAACAAACGAGTGCATATTCTGTACCGACACGTATAAACTTGGTAGTCGCTTGTAAACAGTTCGTACAAATATACAACCAAGCGAAACGCACTTGAATTTTTTTTAAAGTACAGTCGTGTTTTATTGCACATCAAGGGAACGGCTGAAGAGACTGCATTAGCCATCCCGTCCGCCCTCATGTTTCATCACCATGGCTGCTGAAGAAAATCTAACTACGTTTTATATTGGGGCTCAACATTAAAAGTTGTCAGATCAGTGTTTCTTTTAGGCCTTCTTTTTTTTTTTTCCTTGGCACTACAGCCCCAGTGGGCCTCGGCCTACCTCCATGAACTCCGTTCACTTCGGT